CAGACCTAAGTAGGGCCATGAGGGGACTAAAATTAGAACAGAGCAGCAGTTTAGATGGAAAACACATAAATTGGGTCAGCGTGTGAGTACTGATTCCAACATTGCTCTTAGCATATCGTCAATGAGCTTAGAGATTGCTTGGTGGTGTAGGCAATAGTCATATGTGAGGTAAATGGCTCTGCTGCCATGGTGCATTTTAATTCCTGAGGCAAGTACAAGAAACAAAGTCTATACTGATCATGAGCTCATCTTGCTTACAGAGATCTGTGTAGGTGCTTCTCCAAGGTGACCAGCAAGTCGAAAGTATTATACAAATCTGAATTCAGGTTTTTGGGTTTCTAGTAGGTAGTTACAAGGTGTTTGCATTAACAGAATCAATGTACCTTCAGAGATGCATATTTTAAACTAAAGGTACTCCATATACCCTCTTAGTGAAATAACTATTTAGACAATCAAGGCAACATGCTCAGTCTGGACCAGGAGGTGGGTGGAAAAGACAGACAGCTAGAAACACACCTAAAACTGACTTCAGAATATCTTTTTAAAAGTCATCTAATTCTTATCAGAAAACTGCAAAGGAATGCAGACATCAACCTAGGACATTGATTAAGTCCTAGGTTACAGATCTGCAAAAGAATCTTGTTGAAATTTTGCTATGCAAAAGTGTGTGGCTATGTCTTAAGCTTTGGGGACCATGTTCAGGCTCCAGGAATTGTGTCTGAAAGCATGAAACCGAACTGTATGAAACTTGGAGGCATATGCATATACTTTCACACCTCACAAACAGGCATTAAGGTGTAGAACTTCTCATATGTGAGTGGCCAGTAAATATCTTTTGTGATCAAGGTAGGGTTAAGGCATTAAGACTTCAGTTTTTTACCTTAATTTGCATCGAAGGCACTAGTATCCTATGGTATTAAGCTGAAGAAGCACAGAGATGAATTAACTTCCTCTTCAATGGCTATTTCTTTGCAGGAGGCTGTATCACTATTCCAAGGCAAAGAGGGAAGAGATGAAGTGCATTCAGGACTGAAGGGCCCAGTCATAATGAGGGTCTCTCTTTGTTATGGTATTTGTCCCCCCAAAGTCTCATGCAGTTATGAGGCAAAATTCTAGTTTGTGATTAATTCCTCATTCAGTGCTGGGATTATGGGTGTAAATTCTGCTGGGATTACGAGTGTGAGAGCTACACAAGGTCTAGGGTGGACAGCCTACATGCAAATTAGGAGAGACAGACTTGTGGTCTGTGGCCATTGTGGCCATTGTTACCACTACTGCTCCCATTTGCTCTTGCTGTTTTGCTGTTTTCCACTGCCATGAGCTGCTGCCCTCTGCTGTGTGCCAGTCTGCCTTGGAGCCCACTGAGTATGGACTGAAACCTCCACTAACTGTGAGCTAAATAAACCCCTACTTTCTTAATTTTGGGTGTCAGGTATTTGTCCCAGCAATGAGAGAAAAGTAACCGAGATACTCTCCACACCCAGAGTCAGTATGGTGCTCACAGAAGCAAAACATGGGCTCCTACATCATGGCACGCTACCTCTCTGAAAAAATTTTGAGGTGTAAAGACAATCAGTAGATCCAGGAGAAAGAGATAGGGCTACTGACTAGTGACAGTATGTGATTGGATATTTTGAAGGGAATGTGGCTAAAACCATACTGGTAGGTGATCAACTATAAGGGAGGGGTCTAGGTTTCTTTCTGATAATGCTCATCTAACTCCGTGGAGTCTCGGTTATGTATGGTCCCACATTCAAAGAAGCCCAGTTGAAACAGCCAAGGGTAGCATAAAAGAGACTCCAAACTTTAACTTATGTTCTTTGTAAACACTAAGGAAACCTCATTAAATCACCTACAAACCCTCATCTCCCTTTTTGCTTTTCACATTTCTAGACCCCTTTCTCATTACAAAACAAATCCAGGCAACAACACAATGTCCCTCAGACTTTATTGGTTGTATTCTTCCCTTTCTTCTCTCCTTTCTCCCCAGCTCCAGTTACATAAAATGTCAGTTAATTTAGTTTCTCCCATTTGCTCTTCTCTTCAGTCTTTGCACCTCAAGGCTATTCTCTATCTGTTTTTTGTTTTTATTTTTTAGCTCTGTGTCACAAAATGAAACCTTGAAGAGGAAAAGAAAGACTCTGGAGAACTTCAAGGGAGCCATGAGGTCAATGATGGCAAACCTTGAGGGGGAGAAGCTGAGGACACCTAGGTTTCCTGGAAACACCCATGACTCTAGCTTTAGAAAAACTCTGTCAGCCTCATCCATTAGAATCAGACAAAGCAGACAGCCGCTGCCTGTGGAGGGCAGCGAGATGAGTGAGCTTACGCTAGGGGAGATGGCAGTTGTTTGGTTTTAGACAATTCCTGGATCCAGAAGCTGTTTGGGAGAAGTTGCTTTTCCCTTAGTTCCTCTTCCTTTTAGGTAGCTATGGATAGTAATGTGACAATGCTACATTAGTAATAGCCTCTGTTGACCAATGTTTCTTGCATTTATTTATGGGCTGAGGTTGGAAGGGACACAAGGAAGTGAAGGAGGTGACTAAGCCCACCACTGTCATCTGAGGGATTACGAGACAGAGGAAGACTGCAGGTTAATGGAATGATTGCATATTTATGTTGAATTCCTCTCTCCTCCCTTCCCCTCTCCCCCTCTTTTCCTCTTCTCTACTTCACGTTTCCCCCTCCCCACACCCATCTGTAAAATGTGCCCGTCAACTAATCCCCCAAAATGTCTCATTTACCCCAAATACCCACACTATATGTAAACACTGATCAGCCCCCAGCCCCACCGCAGCCTCACTGTGACGCTGTCACAACACCAAGTGCCTGAGTTTTGCCTCTTGAAGAAATGGTGATCATGGACCACCTGTTGGTTGCATCTGACGAGCAGTGTTACAGAGAGGAGAGATGATGTTAAACGGCAGGAGGTTAAAACCACATGAAAGATTCACTTCATACTCACTCCTACCCTAGAAACAGAAAGCTCTCCCCTCTCTCCCAGAATGTCACACATTTCAGAAATAGCTATTGAGAAGGAAGTGAAATTTCTTCACAGACTCACAGACAACGGTGATGTGGATTAAGCCAGGCTTTAGAAAGAGCAAAATTGGAAGCGTATATCTGACTTACAAATCAGTAGCAAAGAATAAGAAAATCACAGGTTTATCAAAGAGATATTCAACTCTATTAAACTGGTCACTTTTTCCAGGTAGACAATCCCCAACTCACCTCTGCCTCTAATACATCTGTGACTTAAGAAACATGTCAGTGATCTTATATGTGCAGTATGTTTACTGCCCTAAGCAAAATCAAAGCTGATGTTCTACCTCTATAATAGCTATTGTCCAGATCCTGGGACATACAAAGTAGATATGTTTTATTGATGCTGCTGTTGCTGCTACTACTGATATAATTACGGCATGCTCCCTTTAGCCCTTCAAGGGCCTCCTGTCCCTAGTGTTGTCACAGTGTATTCTCTTCTTCCTTGTCTCTCTCTCAGGAATTGGGTAAGAACTTTAGCTTATAAGCCATCCTTCTAGTCATCTGAGAGAAGAGCTGATCATGCTAGGAAAAAAATGTCAAGAAAAGACAATGTTTTAATAATAAGATAACCTGGCAGAGGAAACCTGACTCATTCAAAGCAGAACCACATGAGAGAGACACAGGGGCATTCTGGTGCCTACATAGCCAAGAAAGAGAAGCCCAACCACACTGCAATATATGGTGGACATCCTTATATTTCTAAATCTTTAGAGTCTAGAAATGGGAAAACAGCTTTTAATTTTTATTTTCACTCACATTAATGTAACTCCTCAGATAGAAGCAGAAATTAGTCTTTGACACATTTTGTTCCTTTGATTCAGTGAGCATAAGTTTCACATGTGTCTTTCACTTACAGGTGGAAGGAAGCCCTTTAATTTTGTTCTTGGAGTTGTCCTGTACTCGGTGTGTCACTAGACCTTGAGCTTCAGGCTGAGATGTTAGTTTGGTTAATAATGTATATGAGTATTTTCCCTGGAGGCAGAGCACCTTGCAAGACATTATAATTATAATGCACATAAATGCTTTATTGGTCCTGGCTAGTGAGAGGGAAGATGGAGATTAAGATTAGAGCCCTGGGGAATAAATTTGGAAGATAGGGAGATGGGGAATAAGTGTGGCAATGTGAGGACAGGGAGAGGATAAGGACAGGTGGTAAGGACAATGCCTTATTTAGAGGAAGAACCAGTGAATTCCAAGGACAGTTGTAGCTAACATTTACTCTTATATTTCCTTCCCTCCCTGTAATTCCCCGAGGTTAGCCTCTAGCCTACAGATATGATCCTGGGAATAAGGGAATAATTTATACCTCTGCTTCCCGAGCAACAGGATTTTCAGGAAATATGCATAATATGAGAAAACCATTAACTGGCCAGAGGTTTCTGGGGAAATAACCTGTTGAGAAGTGAAAAGAATAAAAAAACCAGTGAGAAAAGAATGTTGGCAGGACATAGACTATGGAGAAGCACAGAATAAGAGAGTCTTTGGGTCTCTGACCTCCTTAGAGGCTTTGAGGGCAACTTGGAGGCTGCTACTTGATCAGTGGGTATCAAGGATGAATGGAGATGAAAAGGATGAGGCATTACTTTTCTGGACCTATTTCTGTGCTGATCTGTGTTCTTGGGGGAGGTGAAGCTGCCTTGATGGCATGATCAACCACAGCAGAGAAGTTGTTCAAGAAGACTCGCTTTGTAATGCATAGAAGCCCATGCTACATCATGGTGGCCCTACCATTAGAGTCGCTGGCCCCTTGAGAAACCGTTTTGCTTAGGGTCACTTGCCAAGCAGAGAGCACACACCCTCCAAACAACCGTACAAGCAGTCTCAGGACCTCCACCATCATACCAGATAATTTCTCTGGGGCAGTGATCAACAGAACAATGACTTAGATGCACAACAGTCATGCAGTGTATCCAAGTGGGGCCTGTGGAGACTTCAGGGCAGAGCCAGAAACTCACCTCCTTTTGATGGTGAGCATCACACCCAGGAGAATGATGATGAACATGAGGAGGCCAGCAATCACACCGGCCATCTTCACAGTGCTGTCCACCTGCTTTTCAGGCTCCATGGTGTTAGAGTTCTGGGTAGAGGCCCCTTAAGGAGAAAAGAGAAGGAAGATGTTGCAAAGACTCACCCCTGTGACTCATTCAAAATAATAACAATGACAACAACAGCTTCCCCTGAGTGAGTGTTAACTGTGTGCCGGGCACCATGGTGAGAGCTTCATACACATTGCCCCATTTGATCCCACTTAAGAATTAATCTGCTGTGAAGCAGGGATTATTATTAGAGCCTTCCAGAGATGAAGAATTGGCTTGAAAAGAAATGGAGTTTCCCACGGCTCTGTAACTTCTGGGCTGTTGCATCTTGCTCTTCTAGTGAGATCAAGTGGTAGACTTTATTCCTCACAATGATTTGTCTCTAGGATCTAACCTTGGAGGTGCCATTCAGAAGGTGGGTTCATGGAATCATTCCCAATCCTATTTTATTCTTTTGAACAAATGGTGAAATTTTCAGTCAGGGCAACACAATTAAGATCACTAGATTTGTGAAGATAAAAAGACAAAAGGTTAGGAACTTGGGAGGTTGAGATAGGAAGACTGGTGGCAGTTCAAGACCAGCCTGCGGGCTACAAAACGTTAGCACAAGACCATTTCAAACTGTATAGTGAACAACCATTTACTTGAGAGAGTGTAGCAGTAAATGATATGACATTAGAAGCAGTACGCTTTTAGAAGACCAGAATGATGGGGATTCCAGGTATGGCCCTAGCATTAAACATTGCTATTTTCAGTGCAGTTGCTTAGCTCACAGGTATCAGCATATATAGTTAGTCAAGGTGACAATCCTACCAATTAACTGCTATTTTCAAAAACCTGCTGAAGATTCTCAGGATCATTGCCTTAGCCATCTTGTGTATATAAATGTCTGGTTTTGCCCCTGCCATGTTTCCTAGCGTTTCTTCTTGCCCTCTCTTTGTTGTTTAATCCTTAAGTTCTCACTTTTCATTTAGTTGTGTCATAACTTTCTATTTTTATTTCTTCTTTTGAGTTCTTACACTAGGGAGACTATATGATATTTGTACATGTGGGTCTGAATTCATGCACCTACAATATATGAATGACAGTGGAATACCCATCTCTGACAAAAGTAAACAAAAAGGGGGATATAAATGAAGGTCCAATTTGTATATATAGATATAGATATAGATATAGATATAGATATAGATATATAGCTACTTTCTCTTAGTTCAATGAGAAGAGTTTTCAACTAATAGTGTTTAGACAAGATATCATGTCTCTAGGATCTAACCTATTGATGCAGCATCAGTAGAAAAAGGCAGAGTAATACAGGCACCTGTACCTCTAGGGTGCTCTCTGTCTCCATCTCTGTCTCTGTCTCTGTCTCTGTCTCTCTCTCTCTGTCTCTCTCTCTCTGTCTCTCTCTCTCT